CGCCCAATTGCCTGGGACTTGACCGGCATCATGCTCAGCATGCTTTGCGTCCGCGAAGCCGCCTTTTCTTCCGTCGCGTCCTCCCTGTCACTCCTGCTCCTCCCTTGCCCGTTCTTAGTACCGAGTTGTGACCCCCGGGCCTCCGTCCCGTCTTGCTCCTCCCTACCACGTGCTTCATCCCTCCTCCGCTTCTTCCCTCCTGCCTTCACGCTTCCCCGCTCGGTGGACACCCGACCTCGACGGGTCTGATCAAACGCCCGGACCGATCGATCTGCGTACACTACCTCATCCATTCCCTCCTCATCTCCATCTCCTAGGCTCCTTTCTTCCTCCTCTGGCTCCATTTCCATCTCGCTCCCCTGTTCCCTTCCTGTGTCTCCCTCATCCTTTTGATTTTTCCGCTTCATCCCTTTTTCATCCCCCGGCCCCAACGCCGTTTGATTATCTTGGCGCTTCCCCCCATTCCCTTCTCCTCCTCGTTCCAGACTTCCTTCATCTTTCCTCAATAACACAGTTGGGCCCTTGCATTTCTCCTCCATGTTCACGCCAGCTCTGCGCGTTTCATACCGCATGATTTCAAGAATACATCTAGAACCGTGAGAGCACGTGCAGGAGAAAAGGAAAGGTGAGGTACTGGACGTTTTCCCGCAAGTGAAAGCCTCGCTGATGTGCAGGAAGCGGGCGAAGGGGGGTAGGAGGTTGCATGCACAAACCGCCTCAGCAGAATATACGACGGGGTCACGTGGGTGAGAATCAATGGGACGTGCGGCCCTCTAGCCATGTTTCATTTCTTGCAGCTGGGCGATGTGGGGAAGCCATTGTCGCGCGAGGAAGTGTACAGGTGTGTCGCTTGATATTGAAGGAGGTTGAGCCGGTTGAGGGTGGTGGAGTACGCGGACAGTGGCGCCAATTGGAGGACGTGAACACAAATAAAGCTTGGTCCTTCGCGCGTATAAATATATGTGTATGATCATCCAATGGTTGTGTGTTTTGCGAGAAGTCCCCGTCTGACGGTGCGTATAATTCCAACGAACTGCAACTGGCATTTTCAAAGGCCTGGCTAACATCTCGACAAGCGAAAACCTGAAGTCCAAGAGAAGATACACGACTTTTGTGTCTTCACAATCTTCTATCCTACCCCAAAACCATTCGATTTGATTCTTTCCCCGTGCCATGCACCCGGGGCGACGCACTCACATGCCTCATTTCTTCCTGCCGAAAAGAGTGCTGTGGAGATGACCGCATGCGCCATTTCTTCCCCCTAAATCCACCTTTCTCTCACGCCTTCCTTGACCAGACAGAACTAATTTTACGACAATCCCCTCCTCGTGATCTCTCCTTCTTAGCACCTCCTCTTCACCTCTCTCCTGCCTTTTCCTGATCTAGACTAGTCTTCATTTCTTCCTCCTCCCCTGACCATCCCCCTTCCTCACTCCTTTCCTTCCTTGCCACCCTCCTCGGCTTCGTCACTTTCCAGGTCCGGCAGCTCTGTGCACAGGGAAGAGAAAAAGACAATCGACGTCAGCGTGGCTCCATCTCCGTCTCCTTCACTCCCTTCCTTCTTTACCTCACACTGCCCCTCCCTCCCCTCACCCCCCCTCCTCATTTTCTTCCCTCTCTCCCCCC